GTTTCGAAGGATAATAAAGAGTATGTATTGAAGGAAATTCATGAAAAATGTTGCGAATCTCATGCGGGCGCACGAGCTACTGCAAGAAAGGCGTTAAGAGCTAGATATTACTTGATGAAATTGTGGGCCAAGGCAATAGAGCTCGTGAAAAGGTGTGAAAGATGCCAGAGAAATGGGCAAGTCATGCATCTACCAGTCGAGGCAATGATACCATCAACACTCCCATCCCATTCGCATAATAGAGGATACACCTAGTAGGACCTTTGACAAGGATAATTTCTATTAGTTGCAGTGGCTTACTTCAGTAAATGGGCCAAGACAGAGCCACTAGCTCTCATAATGAAAAAAAAAAAATAAAAAAATACACATTCTATTCAACAACATTTGTTGTCGTTTTTGGAATTCCTAAAGTTCTCATCTCTAATAATGGAATGCAGTTTCACGGAAATAGGATACAAGCTTGGTGTACATACATGGGGGTAGAGCAATGTTTTGCATTAGTGGCTCACCCATAAACCAGTGGTCAGGTCGAAGTCACCGATAAGAGAGTTGTGCAGGAATTAAAGAAAAGGTTGGAGTGAGCATTTGGAGGATGGGTCGACAAGTTAACATCTGTCTTATGTGCAGTCATCCCATCTACTCCAGAAGCCTTCTTAGGATGATGCTAAAGAGAGATTCTCTTATTTTTTTCTCCTCCACATCGACAACCAACTCTTCAATCAGTTGGTGAGTAATCTTTTTGAGAATTTTTTGGAGTATATCACTACCCCCTACAGATCCTTCTAAAGACTACAATTCTCAACAAATTTTCAGCCAAAGTTTTGATTTCCTGTGGTGAGTCATAAGCTTTATCCTCTTCATCCACATGTCTGGTTATTGCATTCATTATCTTTCTTTAAGAAGTAAGGGCATGGAAGAATCTAGAGTTTTTGTCCCCCTCTTTGAGCCGCATTAGACTTATTTTCTGCTTCCAAAACATCTCCTCAGAGCTATAGGCTTCATTAGTTCGTGGTTGCTGATTCCCAAACTCCCCAATCTCTATCACCACCTTCTTTTCTCAAGTCCTACAAGGAGGTAGAGTTTGGATCTATTTCAGATTTTATGTTTTATAATATTTACTCCAAAGTAAGAGGACCAGCCTGGTCTCTTTGATCTTTTCTTTCACCCTAAACATTGGTCTACCCTCCTGGTGCTGCAACCATGTTTCTTTAACACCTCCTTCTTAGACATCCACCTCTTATCAAATCTGGTTCTACTCTTCTTCTTCACAGTCTTAGGATCTGAGTCTAGAAGTTGCATGATGTGATCAGATGAACTTCTTAAAATGTTCTCCACTTTGGTATCGGGGTGAGCAGAAAGATCTATCCACCTTCTCTTCAACAAAGCATTTTTTCTTTTTATTATTGCCACATGTGAACTGGTAGTCAATCCAACTGACTTCATGCATCTCCATTTCAAATATAAATGAGTACAAGCCCACAAAGTTGTGAAAGTTTCTCACCATTCTCCCTTCTTCTCCTCCCTAGTGTAAATATCATTCCAGTCTCCTGCACACTGCCAATACTTTCCCCACTTTGGTTCAATAGCCTTTAATAAATCCCGTTGTTCCTCTCTAACACTTCTAACTAACCTCAAGTACACTAGAACTAGCCAAGAAGGCTCACTATCTTGTCCACAAGAAAATTCCACTTTCATACAAAACTCATGACACTGGATTTTATAGATAACTACATTCGTATTCCAAAGAAAAAGCAATTCCCCTGATAAACCCTGAGGGTTAACCACCTTCCATCTACCTATATACCCCATCTTAATACACACAGATTTCACATAATGTTGTTGTTGTTTTTTTTTTTTTTTGTTTCTGACATGAAAATAAAATTTAGGTGGTGGGTCCTAATGGACTCCTTGAGCTGGAGAACTGTAGAGGGTCCACCCAAACTTCTATAGTTCCACACCAACACTCTCATTAGTCAATGGTTGGCCCATTTAGGTTGGCCAACACCATCTTTTCCTTACTCAGCTCTAGTTTCTTACCTTTCTCTAATGGCAGCTTTGCATCTTCTTGGAATTGGTTAGACCCTTCTTCACATTGACTATCCCTTCCTTTAGCACGGATAGTTCTTCTCCACTTGTTGGTTCTTTGCAGTGCGTAGGTAACTCCTCAGGTTTAGAACATTCTCTGTCTTTCTCGATTACATATATGATCTCCTTACCCCTATTACCTACAATATCCACAACTGAAACTAATACCCTTTTATCTCTTAAAGTTTCTTCTTCACTCTAATCTTGATGAGAGCTATGAACTGGAATTATACTCAGACCCTAATAACTATCTTGCATACCAATATCATTGACTGTTCTTTTCTAAGTTGTGACTTGCACTTAAACTAGATTGGAGACATTGTTCAAGCTTCCAGAAGAGCTTCTCACCTTCATTTGTTGTTCCATCTCTTGAAGAAGTGGAGTTATGTTCACCTATATTTTTAAAGCTCGACCGCAAGTGTACGGCTTCACTCGTAGTATGTGGCAAGCAAGGTCGTATCCCAAGAGACCAAATAATTAATACATCAAATACAAGATTATGATAGTGTCAACTTTATTTAGACGACCAAATATGAGATGAATTAACTAAACTAAGAAAATATAATTAAAGAGAAATAAAGCAACAAGAAAAAACTAGCTAGAAAAACACGTAAGAAGATGTATGAGAACGATAGATTCTAAGACTTTGGTTTCAATTAATAGTTGAGTTCCTTCAAAAATATCACAACTAAATGTTCCTTTATCTACCCTATAAGATGATCACAAATTTAGCTTATCGTCCCTCTCGAGATCGATAAAACCGTAGATTAAATCACATATATTAGCGTCATCACTCAACACATACAATTCAACTCCAAATAGATTAAAGGATCTAATATCCTCACAACAACCTACTAATCTCTCGATTCAAGCAAGTAAATTGTGTCAAATATTAAAGACCTAATATTGAACTCATCTCTCGAATTATGAACAATATTGTCAAACATGTAAAAGCATTGATCAAGTGCTAAACATGAAACAAGAACAAAATATTTGAATAGGGTTCAAAAGAAAAACAATCAATTATAATAATTCATCCAAAATCCCAACATATTAATCTACTACCAAGTCCTAGAATCAAATAAACTAGCCAATCATGTTCGAATTCAAATACATAGACATATTAGAAATCGACATGTTCAATAAAAGTTCCAAAAAAAAGAAGAAAGAAAAACTAGGAATCTCGTCGATCTTTCAATCTTCTTAATCCCTTCGTACTTGGATCTTCTTTTTGCTTCCCAATTGCTCCTCTTGTGTGTTCTAGGGCCTCTCTAATGTGTATTCACGTTTTTCCTCTCAAAATAGGGTAAATATGTCTTTTATAATGTCCAAAACCCTTCTCCTTTTCAAAATAGGTAAGATATAAAAATAAAAAACTGCCTGCGCGCGCGACACGGCCATTCTGCCCGTGTCACGGTCCGTGTCGCAGCCCGTGTCAGCTCCCAGGTTACGAAATCTCTCTGTTGAGGTGACACGGCCTCTGACACGGGCATGGTGCCCGTGTCACTGCCCGTGTCACAAATCTGCACTCTCATTTTTTCTCATTTCACTCGTTTCTTCCATATTTTTCATCCGTACATCATCCCGGGGGTTTTAGGTACTCACCATGCGCTTCAAATAGCCAAAAGCTCTACAAATATGTGGAACTATCTACAAAACAAGCACGTGTAATACCTTTCCAACAAATAGAGAATTAAAGCACAAATATGCAATTTATACACCAATAATGCAATGACTAAGCTCTAGATACTCAATAAATATGGTGTAAAATCACACATGAACAAGTTATTCAGGGCCTGTGTCCTTAGACCCCATAGAGCCCGATTGACTGGCTTGGTGGATACTTGAAACCATTTGTTATCCATTACCGTAAGCCACTCCCCGAATTGCCCATCCTGAAGTGAATTTTGAGTTATGTCCTCCATTCTCTTTTTTGCAATCTCTGTCCAAATGCCTTAATTTATCACAATAATAGCACATGCTAACTAGTTTTTCATACTTGAAGTTCACCTTGATCACCTGGTCTCCCATCTCACATTCACACATCTCAGAAGCGGTTCTTTGACATTAACAGAAACAATAACTCTTACCACTCTTCCTCCACCTATGTCACTTGCCTTTGATAATGTTACATTTTTAACACCCTTAAATAGTTTGCCGATCTTTATCCCCACCTCTGCACTCTGCCAATGAGGAGGGATATTGTAGACATGTACCCACAACTGCAACTCGTCGAAACACTGGTGATTGCAAATGATACTATTCGTGCAAAATCAAATACTATAGTTCTCAAAAATCCAGTTTGAGCCCGACGCTACTTTCTTCAAATCATCCTCATTCTCAAAAATAAATTGAAAAAAATTTGAACCCAACTCCTTGATTTCAACTGATTTTTGAATCTTCCTTATCTGTCATATCGTTCTATTCAGACTTAAAAGGCTGGCTTTCATGCCTCCAACCACCTTTCCGAACAGGCTTTTCGGCACTCACCCTCACTTAACTTGATATCCTCTTGCCCAATATCAACAATAGAGTTCTCAGCTTTCCGACAATGAGAAGTCCTCACTCCCCTTGCCCGAGTTCCCTTTGCTAGTTGACGCCATGGCTTCGCCCCGTCCTTCACCTTCTACCAACACTCAAGGAAGAAAGCTCGATAATTATCGAGAATTAAAAATGATCTCACTCAAGACAATTAAGGTTTCCAATCGAAAAAAATTGACTCTGCTGAGAGAATTTTTCTATACGCTAAATTGAGAGTTGTTCAAATGTGATAATATTTTTTTTTTTTGGAAACAATAAATTTTATAACTCAAAAAAAGATATACAAACCGGTTAAAAAACCGATCCAAAGCCCTAGCCGGGTTAAAATGTGATAATATTCAAATGTGATAATATTTTGTATTCTCTAACATGTACCAATTTCATCCACGAATACGTGAATTATGAATTAAAGTAGTAGTGTTCCCTATAGGTCTATTAAAATAATTGTTTCTGCATCATCACCGGCCAAAAATTCATACCCCACACACCGGCAACCGGATCCACCGGTTATCACAAGAAGAAGAAATTTTCCAATATATACACAATACAATCCATAAGCATGCACTCACCATCAATATCAGAGTTCACACTTTAACCCTCCCTCTCTCTTGTGAATTTCTCTCTCTCTCTCTCTCTCTCCCACAACCATGCCCGGCCACAACGACTACTTCAACGTCCCCCTCCGCCGCGTCGCCATCGGCAACCAGGACGAGTTCCGCCATCCCGGCGCCATCAAGGCCGCCGTAGCTGAGTTCATCAGCACCCTCATCTTCGTATTCGCCGGCTCCGGCTCCGGCATCGCCTACAACAAGATCACCGGAAACGGCCCCACCACCCCCTCCGGCCTCATCGTCGCCTCCGTCGCCCACGCTTTCGGCCTCTTCGTCGCCGTCTCCGTCGGCGCCAACATCTCCGGCGGCCACGTCAACCCCGCTGTCACCTTCGGCCTCTTCGTCGGCGGCAACATCACCCTCTTCCGCGGCATTCTCTACATCATCGCCCAGCTCCTCGGATCCGTCGTCGCCTGCCTTCTCCTCGGCTTCACCACCGGCGGCCTCGTAATTAATTAACACCCATTTAATTTGCCCACTAAATTTCTTCTAAATCTCAGATCCGATTTTCTCTCTCTCTCTCTAAAACGAAAATGTTTTTTGTGATCAGGAAATCCCGGCGTTCGGCGTCACCGGCGTGTCCGTGTGGAGCGCGTTCGTGTTCGAGATTGTGATGACCTTTGGGCTGGTTTACACGGTGTACGCCACCGCCGTTGACCCGAAGAAGGGGGAAATCGGCATAGTGGCGCCGATTGCTATCGGTTTCATAGTGGGAGCAAACATCCTGGCCGGCGGCGCGTTCACCGGCGCGTCGATGAACCCGGCAGTGTCTTTTGGGCCTGCCCTGGTGAGCTTTACCTGGACCCACCACTGGATCTATTGGGCTGGGCCTCTCATCGGAGGTGGGCTTGCCGGTATTGTGTACGAGATCTTTTTCATGAGCCACACTCACGAGCCGTTGCCTGAGTACTGATGACGTACGCCAATCTGAGTTGAAAGGACGCTCTGTC